GGAGGGATACAACACTTATTTTTTTTTCCCTGGTATCTTGTACAACTAGGGGCGGAGCCGGGGGACAAAAAAATAAAAAATAAAAAAATACTGGGCTGATATAGAATTTCTTTTTGCCTTTTAAGAATTATTTATTGAGGAAATTACACAAATTCAGGTGTTTAAAAATTGATTTTCAAAAATAAGGTTTAAAGTTTATTTATTCAAAAATCAGGTAATATATATTAAAACCTTAATTAATAACCCTAATTTTAACATACACTACTCCCTCCTTTCCATCTCTCGCCCCTTGTCTCCCTCCCCTCCCTCTGGGAATGGCGTGACGGCAGCGTCACGATGAGTCGGCGTAGCGGTGACGCTGTTGTTCACCTCTCTCCCTCGCCTCTCGTCTTCTTCCAAAACGTCTCGTCTCACTGTCCTCTCTCTCTCTCTCTCCCCCTATCACCGACCCACTTCTCTCTCTAAATACATGCAACCGCAGCTTTGTCGGCCAGAAGGAGCTCGAATCGTCGCGATTTGCAGCTGTGAAATGACTTGTGTTCGATGCGACGCGAAGAAGCAACAGTATTTGCGAAGCAGATCTACCCACTCCGACGACTCTTCACACGTGAAGCACCGCGACCAGATCTAGGTGGTGTTTTGTGTGGTGGTGATGGTGTGGTGGAGATTTTGTGGTGGTGGATATGGCGGTTGGGGTGGTGTGATGTCTCTCAGTTGGTGCGATCTGGTGGCAGCGATGGTGGTGTGATGTGGTGGTGATGTCTATAGTGGTGTTGGCATTGACGGGGGTGGAGGTGGTGGCAGGTTTGTGGTGGCTGTGGTGTGGTGTGGTGATGTCTGTGTTATTTGCGGCGACAAGGATGGTGGTAGAGCTGGTGGTAGAGACGAGGATGGAGGTGGTGGCGGGTTTGAGATTTTTTTTTTGTTGAATCTGGTGGTAACGGGTTTGTTGGTGGTGGTGCTGTTTTGGTGGCAGCGACGGTTATAGTGGTTTGGCGGCAGTGGTTGTGGTTCAACGCGGCGCGACGGTGATGGTTGTGCTGTCAGAGGTTGCAAGTGTTGGTGGTGGTCATCAATTATTTGGTCGACTGTGACCATTAAATTGGAAATCTGTGACCAATAGATAACATATGACCAATGAAAAAGATAATTTGTGACCATGAAATTACGTGACCTAAAAAATTTGATAATTTGTGACTGACTAATAAGTTGTGACTCATAATATTTGTGATTTGTGACCTATTAATTTTTAGATTTGTGGCCTATGAAAATTTTAATCTGCGACCGTAAAAAATAATCTGTGACTAATTAATTTGATAAAATCTGACCAATAAATAAGTTGTGACATATAAATATGTATACGTGACCATTAATTGTATAATTGTGATTTTAATATATTTAATTAATAAAATATATTTAACTAATTAAAAAATACCCAAAATTTGTAATTTTAAACTTAATTCCCGAAAATTGATTTGGTGATAGTTAATACGTGGTTTATGATTTTTTCCCTTTGAAAATTTTTGGGCTTGGGGGGCAGGCCAGGTCTAAAGCTCAGATCATTTCTATATGGTAGTTGTAGTTCGAGGGTGGCTATAGTTGTGTGGTTGGTGAGGTTTTTGTCCTTGGACACGTTGTTTTGTTATTTCCTATATCGTATAAAGTTGGATTATGTTGTGTTGTCATCATGTGAGTGTATATATTCATGATCCGTGATTTTCCCATTCCATCGTGGTTCCAAGTCCATACCATCATTAAAAAAATCTGCAGTGCATATATCAATGTTTTTCTTCTTATAAGTCAAAAAATGACTTTCATATAAAAAAAATTGCTTGTAAAGTAAAAATATTACTAATAAGATAAAATTTACTTATAAACTACAAAAGAATTTATAAGTAAAAATTCACATATATGTGAAAAATTATTTATAATTTCAAAATTAACTTATAATAGTAAAAAGTAAAAAATTAATATTTTTTAATAAATAAATATTTCATTTTAAAATTAAAAACACACACCTAGACTATGCAAGTGTTTTCATATTAATTAGCACTACTTTTTATTTATTTAGGGTGCGTTTGAGCTACATTATTTTGGAATAAGATTGATGGAGAATATGTGGTTGAAAAAAAAAAGTTATTGATGTGATGAAAAATATTATTTTATTGAAAAACGTATGATTGAAAATGATTAGAAAATTTTAATGTGACTCAAACAGAAACTTAGGACGGGGTTTATTATGGTAAAGGAGCACGTACACAATTTGATTAAGTTTTGGTTAGCCGGAAAAGTTGAACATTTTGGAGTTTTCGTTCAATTCTTGAATTTAAAATTGATAATCATATCCACTCGTTTAAACAAACAAAAATCTGCTAGCTGTAACAATAATATAATAGTAATAGTTGGAAGTATCATCCAGCATCAACTCATACTCCTTCCTTCCTTAAATCAAAACTCATAATTTCTGTAACACTGACAAAACTATGGCCTATAAGATCCCAGTTGTTTTGCTAATATTACCGGTTATCGTGGCTGTTCTTCTCTACCAACTCGATACCTTCGATCCGGTTCCATATCCCGACCACGAGTTGACTCCAAAGCAGCCCCTGTTTGTGCCTAAGAGAAACAGTCACATGCTTCATGGCTCAGAAAAAATCGGGGTTGGTCAGCTGCTGGGCCCAGAAGATATAGCTTATGATCCTATCACAGGAGTTATATACACCGGTTGTGCCGATGGGTGGATCAGCCGAGTTATGGTTAACGAGTCAGCAGCTGACTCGAAGGTGGAGAGATGGGTCAACACCGGTGGCAGACCACTTGGACTTGTTCGTGGACATCATGGTGAACTCATCGTAGCAGATGCTGTAAAGGTTAGTGAAACAATTTGAAGTCTTACGTATTATGGTTGCTTTAAAGGCGGCGTTTCAAATTGAAGAATACAATATATAAGAAAGAACACAAAGAATTACGGGGTTCGATGTCAGTATAACAAACCTACATCCCAGGGAGAAGAGGGAAAACTATATTCGCTTATATCCAAAGTGTTACAATGGCACATATATAGTCATATTACAACAAGGTTGTCTAATTATAGATGAGACAATCACGAAATGAATATAACAAATTATGGAAACATTTCAATTATCATGGTCCAATATTTTTCAAATCATGCTATAATATTTTCTTCAATATTAGCAAATATTAT